ATTCATATTGACCACTTTGATATACTGCATTGGGTGAATATAGCAAAATTTATATTTTCATTCTCCTATTGATGGACATTTACATGGTTTTAAAATTTTTACAGTGACAAACAACACTGCTATAACACTGCTATATACCTCTACAAGGTAGGTCCTAGATATAAAAGGATTTAAAAACAATAGAAAGGAAAAGAGGGGCACCTCGGTGGCTCTGTTGGTTAAGCATCCAACTCTTGATTTTGGCTCATGATCCCACAGATCATGTGTTCGAACCCCGTGTCGGGTTCTCCACTAAGCATGAAGCCTGTTTGGCTTCATACTCTCTCTCACTCTCTCTCTGCCTCTCCTGTGCACATGCATTCTCTCTCTCAAAATAAGCAAACTTAAAAAAAAAGAGGAAAAGAAAAAAAACCCACCCAAACTGTCATTATTTATGAACTAAATCATTATCAATATATTAGTATCATTAAGCAAATAATTATTAAACAATAAAGCTGAGTTTAAGATCAGTTATTAATTATACACCAACAAAGAATAGTAAGAAAATGTTCAAATTTACAAGTGAATGTTTAGAATTCACAAGGGAATGTTTACAATTCACAAGTGAAAATAAATATGATGTACCTAAGCTTCAATTTAACCAACAAAAGAAAAGACATTAGAAGATTTACTTGTAGACTATTCTCTTTTCCTATAGAGAATGGATCAGGAAAAGACAGGGGCTAAAGTATGAAGATATGAGTTTTTCTGCTGTTACCTAAAAGAAAAATGACAGTGGCTCAGACCAAGATACTTGTAGTAGAATCAGACATATGATCAGAAACAGATATGATTTGAAAATAGAATCAAGAAGACTTGGTGAGGGATTGGATATAGAGAGTAAAGTATCAAAGATATTGGGACATAGTTTTAATCAATTGAGCATGAGAATGAAATTTACTGAGGTTTGAGATGAACAGACTTCTTCCAATTGAGTGGACTAGCTTGGATCAAAACAACCCTGCCACCAAAAACAACAAAAAGCTGTATACAATATAAAAATGTCTATTTGAAAGAATTAGCAATGAATCAAAGCATCAAGGGTTTAAGGAGTCAGAGTCCTGGAGACAAAGGAAACCTAGAGAGGAGACCTTGCCATTTAGCACCACTTTTCCCTGAGAAGCATTTGACAACATATAATTGGTGAACCAGAAGATACATCAAAATAAAATACCTAGATAGGAACAGGGAAAGAGACACAAAAGATGGAAAATACAGAAAATAGAATAAACGTGTATAATATGGGCAAAGACTAATATACTTTTAAAATATAATTTTACATCCATCAAATCAGCAAAAACTTTAAGTCTGGCAATACTGTGTTGGCAAAGAAGTAAAATTTGAAACCATCCAGTGAAACAGCAGTTCCGTGTCACCAGCAATTCCCCTTCTTACGAATATCCTAGGGAAACTCAAACGTGTATCTAAGAAGAAATTGTAAAAGGTGTTCATTGCTGCACTGGATTTAATAGTGAAAAAATGCTCACCAAAAGGCAAATAGATGTATGTGTACAATAGAAAAGCATAAAGGCAACTCCATTCTTCCAGTTGCCAGGCCCACACACCTTGATAGGTTGTATTTCTGTCCATCTCTCACAAACCACATCTAACCCATCAGCAGTTGTGTGGGGTCTACTTTCAACATATATGACATATTCAATCACTTCAAACCTCCAATGCCAATATTCTTGTCCCTAAGCTTAAATACTTGCTAGTCTTATATACTTGGACTGGTTCGTATCCAGTTCTCTTATGATTGAAACTCTAATTAGAAAATTGCAAGTTATACAAGAAATAATCCAGTCAGCTACAGCATGCTTAAGAACATCCTTCAATCAGGAATCAGTAAACAGAAACATCAGCAAGACACTCATTTACCTCCAACTGCACTAAGTTCAGTTAAAGTTAACACTTTTCTCAAGTGTCCTTATACTTAGGAAACTATCATCTATTAATTGTTTACCCTTTCATTCCACACAAACACCACCATTGCCACCACCACTATCATCAGTCATCAGGAATCACCATCTGACGTATTATGCATACGTGCTTGTTGTGTGTTTACTTCTTTTTCCCCTAAGGTACAAAAGTATTTCTGTCTGTCCTTTCTAGAATACAATAGATCTTGGACTGCTATAAGCTTTGCACATAGTAAGTGCTCAATAAATTTTTGTAGACTAAAATAAATATACCAAAACAAAAACAAATCGTAAATTAATGTCTCTGTACTTTATCTTGCTACAAATAATGGATGAATGAATGTGAGTTAATGAAAAAATATATGTCAGATGTATTAACACATATATAGTGGCACAAGCTACACATGTGACTGAGAGACAGTAGTGGCCTAAATAAATACATTTATTCAGGAAATACTGTATTTCCCTTAAAAGTGAGAAGTCATTTGTCATGTAGCTTTCAATTTTTGCTGTTGATGTTGTTGTTGTTGTTGTTGTTGATGTTACCTTTGGTGTTTAGAAGTTTGATTATGATTTTCTTGGGAAAATTTACATATTTATATATTTTGACAAAGTTGGGAAAGTTTCACCAGTTATTTCTTTGGATACTTTTCAGGCTTACCCTCTTTCTCCTCTTCTCTGGAACTCCAATGGCACAAATATTAGCTCTTGTGTTATATTCCCACAAAAATCACCGAGATAATATTCTTTTGTTTTGTTTTGTTTTGTTTTAGTTCATTTTCTATTGTCAAATTGGGGGTTTCTACTGTTCTATTTTCATGTTCACTTATTCTTTCCCTGTATTCTTCATTCTGCAGTTGAACACACCCACTGAGTTTTTAATTTGTTTTATTTTTCCGTTCTAAAATTCCCACTTGGTTTCTCTTTATATATTCTATTTCTCCCCTGGCTCCTTCTACTTTTTCATTTCTTACATGCATGTTTGCACAGGCTGATTGCAGAATTTTTATGATGGCTACTTTAAAATCCTTGACAGAGGGGCGCCTGGGTGGCGCAGTTAAGCGTCCGACTTCAGCCAGGTCACGATCTCACGGTCCATGAGTTCGAGCCCCGCGTCAGGCTCTGGGCTGATGGCTCGGAGCCTGGAGCCTGTTTCCGATTCTGTGTCTCCCTCTCTCTCTGCCCCTCCCCCATTCATGCTCTGTCTCTCTCTGTCCCCCCCCAAAAAAAAAAAAAAAGTTGAAAAGAAAAAATCCTTGACAGATAATTCAAAAACCTGTGTCATCTCAATATTGGTGTCTGTTGATTGTCTCTCCTCACTCAGGTTGAGATTGCCCAGGTTCTTGATATAACAAATGATTTTCTATTGTATCCTGGACATTTTGGATATTGCATTATTAAATTTGAGATCTTATCCAGGACTGGAAGCTCCTAAATATATTTATTAATAGCCTGGTTTGTGTCTATCCACAGGGACAATATTGATATCTAATTATAATAAAAGAATGAGTGTTTCCACAAAATAATTTTATTTCATACAACTTAATTACTGCTAAGATGACCAAAATGATCTCTGCCTCCTGGTATTAATGCCTTAAAGTCATCCCCTCCCCTTGAGTATGGGCAGGACTTATGAATTCTCATTTCCAATGAATGGAATACAGCAAACATGAGGAGATATCACTTCCAAGACTTTTGTCTTGTTACCACTCTCTCTCCTGGATGGAACAAGCAAGATGCCATACTACGATCTGCCCTATGAGGAGGCCCTCATAGGAAGAATGATGGCAGGTCTTCAGCCAATAGTTCAAGAGAGATTGAGGTCCTTAGTCCAGAAACCTGCAATAAACTGAAGCACAGCTGTATGAGTGAACTTGGAAGTGGATCGTTCCCCAGAGGAGCCTTGAGATGACTACAGTTCCAGTCAACAGATGATTGAAGCCTTATGAGACACTTAGAGCCAAAGGACCCTACCAGCATCCAAATTCCTGACCCACAGGAACTGTGTGAGAATGTTTTTCAGGTCACTAACTTTTGGGGCAATTTGTTAGGCATCAGTACACAAGTGAAATTATTAAGCCATGATAGGTCAGTACTCTAATAGATGTTTCACAGAGGTTATTTATTCAGCTCCATGGAAATGACTCTATGATAAAATGAAAATATTTTTTAGGGTTATTTATTTATTTTGAGAGAGAAAGAGAGAAAACAGGGGAGGGGCAGAGAGTGAGAGGGAGAGGAAGAATCCCAAACAGGTTCCATGCTGTCAGCACAGAGCCCAATGCAGGGCTCGATCTCACAAATCATGAGATCATTACCTGAGCTGAAATCAAGAACCGCCAGGTGCCCCAAAATGAAATTATTATCCTCATTTTACAGATGAGGAGATAGGGATTCAAAGAAATAAAACAGCTTACTAAAAATCATGCAGCTACTAAGTGTCAGATGTGGGATTCAATCCTGAGCCTACTTAAAGTTTACGTTTTTTACATGAAGCTACAATTCCTCTCTTTGGAATACACTTTCAAAAGTATTAGCTCAGAGTTATATAATATCAACTTTTATACTTCCAAAGGAAAATTCTCTGGCCAAACTTAAATCTTTCTTTCGTAATTAGCTGTGACTAACTTGTTCAGCGACATATGTGTTTTCTTAAAGACCGATTTATTGAGATATAATTCATGTACCATATAACTCATCCCTTTAAATTGTACACTTGGGTGGGGCTATTTGGCATATTACATTAATAACTTTTTAAAACTTGTGATAAAATATGTATAACATAAAATTTGCCATTTGGACCATTCTTAAGTGTACAATTCAATGGCATTAATTATAGTCACAGTGTTGTGCAACTATCACCAGGTATGTTTGAATTTTTAAATAATTAACATGTGAAACATTTTAACTCTGGCACTCTTTAAAAGAGTTTACAGAATCTTAGAACGATTCACAAGTTAATTATTTTTAAAACAAAGTTAAGTGCAATAAAATGCTTATGTAAATCAACAAAGCATGCTGCAGAATCATGCAGAAATGTATAAAAGTTAGCAATCCACATGACATTTTTATATTACTTTTCAGGATAATAAAAAGAAAAAAGAAAAAATATGCAACTCCTGAGGTCAATAGGATTTTTCCATGGAAATATTTTATTATTTTGTGTCACAACAGGTGCAGGAATCTTTGTGTCTCCTAAAGGGGTATTAAAATACTCTTCACTGAACATAGCTGTCTCCCTGAGTATTTGGGCTGCTTGTGCTGTTCTGACTATCATCAGCGCTCTCAGTCTTGCAGAGCTGGGGACAACCTTCCCTAGAAGTGGAGCGCCTTACTATTTCCTCAAAAGATCTCTTGGATCCTCTGTTGCTTTCCTCAGTCTTTGGATCAAATTTTTTATTTATCCCTTAGGAATAGCTACGCAAAGCTTGATAATATCTACCTATATAATTCAGCCTTTCTATACCAGGTGCCCAGCTCCAGAGCTACCAAAGAAATGTCTAGCTTTGGCTATTTTGTGGTCACTGGGACTTCTAAATACTCGAGGGGTGCTAACAGTGGCTTGGTTTCAAACTATCAGTGTTTTGATGAAAATCACTATCCTCTGCTTCATTTCCCTTACTGGGATTGTACTGTTAGGGACTGGGAAAAAGGAGAATGTGGCCAAGTTTGAGAATTCTTTCGACGCTGAACTTCCTGGTGCCTCACAGATTGCAGAAGCCTTACTCCAAGGATTGTTTGCATATTCTGGTACATCAATCCTGATCAACATAGCAGGTAAATCCATCTCTGAAATACTTTTGTAGCAGGCTGAAAGTTTTGTCTACAGTTCTATAGAGAAAGATATAGCAGATTTGTTTGGTTTTTGGAATTCAATTTGATCTTCTTTGGACTAGTTGGATATATCACAGTTTAGTCATCACTAAACCTCAGTATATTACCATTTATATGGAAAATATGGAATTTAGTATTCTTCAGGTCATGTCCCTTATTCAAAATGTGGGAATTTATAATATAAAGTTTTCAAAAGGAAATTAAGATCATTCTCATACATTACTACATTTTATTCTAGCATTTTTTCAAGACATTTTGAGTTAAATATCAGTGATGTAAGAAATACATTAATATAATCTATTTGTAAAAAATAAGACTATCACAGGTATATATATATATATATATATATATATATATATATATACCCTACCAGCAATGATAAAATGCCACATCCTAATTTTGATTCCATGATATGTCTCAGGGATCTTTCTATATCAGTTCTTAGCGACCTAACACATTTTTTTAACTGCTGCGTAACTTTCTTTAGGATGGCTTTACCACACCTTCACATTAGTATGTGTTTAAAGTTCTTACAATTTTTCACAATTACAAGGAGTGTTGTAATGCCCATGTTTCCCTATGCACATGTACTGTACAGCCATGTTGCCCCCTGCAATGTTATGGTACCAAGGGAATGTGGTAATAGATGCATAGCACCCTAGAGTAAACAAAAGAATTAAACAGAAAACAATTCATGATATTTCATTTGCCTTATAAAATTATAAGAATATAAAATATTAAGAAATATAGTAAATAGCAAAGTTGTATAAAACTTCCAAGCAAAATCTTTGCAACAATTTCTATAAGAAACTTGAACTTGGGGTGCCTGGGTGGCTCAGTCTATTAAGTATCCAGTCATGATCTCACCGTTCCTGAGTTCGAGCCCTGCAACAGGCTATGTGCTGACAGCTCAGAGTGTGGAGCCTGTTTCAGATTCTATGTCTCCCTCTCTCTCTGCCCCTCCCCCACTTGTGCTCAGTCTCTCTCTCTCTCTCTCTCTCTCTCTCTCTGTCAAAAATAAATAAACATTAAAAATTTTTTAAAAATTTAAAAACCTTGAGCTTGTTCCCCTATATGTCACACTACTAGTATAGATTTTATGCTTAAAATATCTGTAATATTTTATCAAAACTTTTCATTATGATTTCTTAGAAGCACTGATTCTCAAGTCATTGAAATCTGTGATATTCCTTGATTATTAAGATATTTGTTCTCTCATGTAGATTATTAAAAATTAAGATAATTTTTAAGGATTTTATAATTTTTCTTTTTTAATAATTGACAAAGGTAATGTTTTCATTTCTGGCAGTGAAATTAGTGAATTTTTAAACCAATATCAAGGTTTTCCAAATAATAAGGCTTTAATTTATCTAGCACAAATTAATTGTTATAGCAATCATCTTGCAGCTAGCTTGGACATTAAAAAAGCACATGAAATACTGGACATATGTGAAGGCCGAGTTTCATGGGTCACCGACTGGATCTGCATCCTTCAGGGGCCACTGAGTCACCTCACTTCCCCAGTCGTGTTGGGTTATGAGCCACGGTCCTTGGACAACTGAATCCAACTTCCTCCAGCAGTTTCTAAAAAGCCCTTTCCTACAGTGGGCAGTTATGTGTTCTGCAAAAGTAAATACCCAGATATTAGTATCTCTCTAAGGTAGAGCATCTCACTAGAGCAAGCAGGAAGGTTCTTGATAGTAATCATCACCTGAAGATACAGCATAATGCAGCTATAAACCCAATTTGGGATCTTTTTGGACTGCTCATCTCAACCTCCTACTCCCTGACTTGATTTGTTATCAAAACAAACTAAGCGGGGCGCCTGGGTGGCGCAGTTGGTTAAGTGTCCGACTTCAGCCAGGTCACGATCTCACGGTCCGTGAGTTCGAGCCCCGCGTCAGGCTCTGGGCTGATGGCTCGGAGCCTGAAGCCTGTTTCCGATTCTGTGTCTCCCTCTCTCTCTGCCCCTCCCCCGTTCGTGCTCTGTCTCTCTCTGTCCCAAAAATAAATAAAAACGTTGAAAAAAAAATTTAAAAAAACAAACTAAGCCTTGAATTAAGGATGAGCATCCCATACCTAGCACTGGTAATGAAATGTGAATGACTTCAGATCAATATGGTGTTTGAAAGGTCTACTGAAATTTTCTGGCTCTGCAGACTATTAAAGCAAAAGGCCCAATAAAACAAGTGTAGTAATTCCATCAGATCTTGTGGCCAGTTGCATGGGACTGGCTACCATTACCCACTTTGTTAACTTTATTTGTAAGTCTACAACACCAAATGTATACATCTGGCTTCTTGTATACCAAAACAGGTTAATCCTTGTGGTGAGAAAGGAACCCGTGTGCATTGTTGGTGGGAATGCAAACTGGTGCAGCCACCGTGGAAAACAGTATGGAAGTTCCTCAAAAAATTAAAAATAGAACTACCCTATGATCCAGTAATTTCACTACTGGGTATTTATCCAAAGAATACAAAAACACTAATTCAAAAAGATATATGCATCCCTATGTTTCTTGCAGCATTATTTACAATAGCCAAATTATGGAAGCAGTTCAAGTGTCCATCAGTACATGAATAGATAAAGAATATGTGGTATATATACACAATGGAATGTTACTCAGCCTTAAAAAGAATGAAATCTTGCTGTTTGCAACAACATGAGTGGATCTAGGGAGTATAATGCTAAACTAAACAAGACAGAGAAACAAATACCACATGATTTCACTCAAATGTGGAATTTAAGAAACAAAGCACATGAACAAATAAAAAAAGAGACAAATCAAAAAACAGACTCCTAACTATAGAGAACTGATGGTTACCAAAGTGGAAGTGGGGGGCAGGAGGGGTGAAATAGGTGAAGGGGATTAAGAATACATTTATCTTGATGAGCATTAAGTAATGTATAGAATTGTTGAATCTGTACACCCAAAATTAATATAACACTGTATTTTAAATATACTGGAATTAAAATTTAAAAATAAAAATAATTAAATTAATTTTTAAAATAAATAAATAAATAAGGATATTTCAAATAAAAAAAAAGAGAGGCATAACCCTGGCTAAAAAGAACTATTTCTCTTGAGTTTGGTCCTCAGATTTTCTGATCTGTCATATTCCTGGCCAAGTATAAACAGAATAGACAACTTATGTCCAGATTCGTATGCTAGGGCCTCCTAAAGGGACACCACTGAACCCCAAGCACCACCATACGTCCTTTATATTTACATCTGAAATAAGAAATTATATTGGCTCTCAAAACTATTAGTGCATCCATCTCAGTAACAGGTCTGACGAAATTAAAATGAGTCTCTAGTGACATAGACAACTGTCAGGAATTGAGTTCTATCCACGTAACAGCAAAAGAACAAAAGTCCTCTGCTTCCATAACATGACTTGTGTGACTCTTGCAAGGGAGCATCAGGGAAGATGACACGGCATGCTATTTAGAAAATCAGGATCACTTGACACACATTCATCTTCACAGCAATTTAAAGAAACACTCAGATTTTGTAGTCTGCTCCAAATTCCCATTGCACTAAGGAAATCCAGGAGATAACTGCAGCATTGGCTGACCCTCAGAGGAAGTTGCATTAATAATGGCACCACCGGCTCAGATTTGCATCCACTCCTCGTCCAAAGATCTGAAGAGCAAGATCTAGGGTAACTTTTAAAAAGGCCAGTTCCTCAGATCCTTGAGGAAGGTTTCTGAGAACAAATGGTAACTTTTGGCCTGAGCTAGAAATGTAAATAAGAGACGGGAAAAGGCCCATTAGACAAAACTTTCCCCTCACCTTATGTAAAACCTAAACAGGAGAGTCTAAGCAGGCAGGGCACCTACCGCAGGCTGCTCTTCTGTCATTGGAGATCAGAGGACATGGTCTTAGTCTGCACTGAAGACAGGAATATGGTAGAAAACACAAACTAAGAATCCACTGCTTCCCTGGACACATTTAAAACTTGGTAATACTCCCTGGTCTTAAGGATGTGACCAAAGTTGGGCATGTTAGGGACAAAAGAAATTTTCCACATTAAAACCAAGCAAGTTGTAAGAGACAGTATTCCTAAAGGAATTTTTCACTGTTCATTTGAACAGTGGTGGGAAAAGAGTAAGATGAGAAAGAAAGCATTAATTTGGTACAAGTTAAAACTTTTTTATCTTTTACTCTCTCTTTCTCAAAGAAAATAAAATGTTAGTGTTAATGTAACATTTTATAGTTTCCCAAAGTGACAGTTAAAATTATTAGTCACTTTTTATGGGGCATCTGGGTGGCTCAGTCGATTAAGCGTCTGACTTGGGCTCAGGTCATGATCTCAAGGTTCGTGGGTTCAAGCCCTGGGTTGGTCTCTGTGTTGACCACTGTGAGCCTAGAGCCTGCTTCGGATTCTGTGTCTCCCTCTCTCTCTGCCCCTTCCCTGCTCATGCTCTCTGTCTCTCTGTCTCTTGAAAATCAATAAACCCGTTAAAATTTTTTAAAAAATATATTAGTCTATTTATGGGATAATTTCGGAATAATAATTTTTAACAAAATAGTACAAAATAATGAAAAATCTAAGCTTTCAGGCACAATTTGTGCAGGACCAATGTAGAATCAGTCCATGTAGATAAGGAAGCATGAATCCATGAACAATACTTTCTCCTCTTTTTATTGTAAAGAACTCTTCAAAAGTCCCACAATAATACATCCTCTTCTGATAACTTTATTTGTGTTTTTTAGGAGAGATAAAAAATCCCGGTGAGAATATTCCCAAAGCTCTGATTACCGTTCTTCCCATGGTGGCTGTTGTTTACGTATTGGTGAATATATCCTACCTGGCAGTTTTGACCCCTCAGGAAATCATCTCTGCAGGTATGAATGTGTCTAGACAGAGAGAAACCAGTCACTACTACTACCTACTCTCAATAAACATTGACTCCTGTACACTGTAGATATGTTTGATACACCCCTAAAAACATAAACATGACGTATTCATGCTTTGGTTGTTATAAGGAAAGGAAAAATAATCACCTAAATGATCTATAAAGAAGGGGCATGTGCTAAGGGAAAGATCTAAGGATAGTAGAATGTGAAAAGCAAGAATTAGAAAGAGAAAGAGAAGGAGGAGAGGGCTGCAGAGGAGAAAGGGGAAAGAGATGAAGAGAAAAAGGAGCAAGCACAGCAAGAAGCAAAGAAGAGATATTTTGTTAGAATTTCTACCCTTTAGGGCACACCCAGATACATATCCTCAAAATAACTGTTTGGAATAGGCAGTGCATTCTTCATTTTGTAGATAGGGAAACTAGCTCAGGGAAAAACTGGGTCTCCATCATGCTCTTCTTATGATAAAAGCATGTGTCTTGTCCAGGTTACTGAAGGTAGTGGGTTGTAAACGTGGACAGCAAGTTGCAAGATCTGATCTTAAAAAAAATACTCTTCCCAATACCTCTAGGTATGGTGCTCAAAGTTACATTCCTGGTAACTGACAGACTGAAAACCAGGTGGTCCAACTTCAAAACCCATGTTCTCAACCACCGCACTAAAATGCCTCAATTTACAAACAAACCAAATCAAAGTCCTGTATCGCCACCACTAGGAGGGATTATTATCAATGCAAGTAATAGTATGTAGATACATTAACATATATCAGATAATAAGGTATATTAAAACAAATAATGATAGGGGCGCCTGGGTGGCGCAGTCGGTTAAGCGTCCGACTTCAACCAGGTCACGATCTCACGGTCCGTGAGTTCGAGCCCCGCGTCGGGCTCTGAGCTGATGGCTCAGAGCCTGGAGCCTGTTTCTGATTCTGTGTCTCCCTCTCTCTCTGCCCCTCGCCCGTTCATGCTCTGTCTCTCTCTGTCCCAAAAATAAATAAAACGTTGGGAAAAAAAAATTTAAAAAAAAAACAAAAAAACAAAAAACAAATAATGATATAGTAGACACCATAGATGTGACTAAACAGAGCTATATCAAAAGGTTGGTAGTAAATGGTATCATGTGAATGATAAAATTACAGTTTTTATTTCCTTTTTTATATTGTTTCATATTGTTCATATTTTCCATGATTAGCATGTTGCACTTATGATCAGAAAAATATCATTTTTCTAATGCCAAATAACATTTCCACAGAACCAACTGGTAAACTTTTATGAAAACACCAAGCCTTTTTTTTTTTTTTTTGGGAAACACCAACCCTTTAAGAAAATGCTAAATCACATTGTTTACTTTAAAAAGGCAGAGTAGTATTTGAAATATATTTTAAAAATTCCATCAAATTTTAATTTAAAAAAAGGCAGTTACTCCTGAAAGAAGAGAAGTTATCTAGAAAGTTCATTTACTGATACAACTCACTCTTTAAATATTCTAGATAAAATCCAAGTAATACACCAATAAAAACATAAACTACAAAAATATTGTATAGAAAGACAGGAACAGGGGCGCCTGGGTGGCTCAGTCGGTTAAGCGTCCGACTTCGGCTCAGGTCACGATCTCGCGGTCCTGGGTTCGAGCCCCGCGTCGGGCTCTGGGCTGATGGCTCAGGGCCTGGAGCCTGCTTCCGATTCTGTGTCTCCCTCTCTCTCTGCCCCTCCCCCGTTCATGCTCTGTCTCTCTCTATCTCAAAAATAAATAAAAAACTTTTAAAAAAAATTTTAAAAAAAAAAAAAAAAGAAAGACAGGAACAGAAGTATCTGACCGTGTACAAATATAGTGCATGTGGTTTGGGAGAAGCTGTGACTAGAGCCAACATACTGGGATACTCAGGTAACTAGAATTTCCCTGCAGTGGAGGGGTTTTCAAAGCAAAGGTCACAAAGAGGATTAGTCTGATGTGCAAAGCCTTTACAAAAATAAGTTTTGAAATGTATTTTGAAAAAAAACTATACAAGTTTCAAAAAGTCAAAAGGTGGTTTTATGCATCTTCTCTGACACTAGTACAAAAATGTTATGTTGCTTCTAAAAGGAAAATATAGGTGCACCTAGGTGGCTCAGTCAGTTAAGCATCTGACTCCTGATTTTGGCTCAGGTCATGATCTCATGGTTCATGGGTTCAAGCCTCCCATCAGATTCTGTGCTGAAAGTGGTTGGAGCCTACTTGGGATTCTCTCACTCTCCCTCTCTCTTCCCCTCCTCTCTCTCTCTCTCAAAATAAAAAATAAATAAATAAATAAATAAATAAATAAATAAATAAATAAATATTAAAAAAATAAAAGGAAAATGCAATTTTTTAAATGTTACATTAAAAAATAAATGAAAAGAAAATATAAGTTTTTAAATTTTTAACTTATTTTGAGAGAGAAAGAGAGTGGGGGAGGGGGTGAGAGGCAGAGAGAGAGAGAGGGATAGTGAGAGAATCCCAAGCAGACCACACTGTCAGCATAAAGCCTGATGCAGGGCTTGAACTCATTAACTGTGAGATGATGACCTGAGCCAAAATCAAGAGTCAGATGCTTAACCAACTGAGCCACCCAGATGCCCCAAGAAAATATAAATTTTTTTAAGTTATTTATTTTTTAAGAGAGAGAGCACACACACAGGGAGTGAGGGAGAGAGAGAGAATCCCAAGCAGGCTCCACACTGTCCACACAGACCCTGATGCAGGGCTCCAACCCACAAACCATGAGATCATTTCCTGAGATGATGATCAACCAGCTGAGACACCCAGGTGACCCTAAATTTTGATAAGTTAATAATAACATGTTACTGTTACACCTTCCCACAATTTGGTCTCACAGGAATACAGTAGTAACACTAAAGGAGATTTTGTTTTAACTATTAAAATGAGAGACAGAACTGTAATTTGCCTTACACCCACTTCCCAACTAGTCAGCAAGTCTTGTAAAACTCTACCCCATTAACAGCTCGTCAGGTATTTCCCCCTTCTGCATGCCCACTCAGGGTCTAGACCCTCATTTTCCTCATCAGGCTACAGCAAACACCTCCTCATTTGTACACTAACTTCTAATCTCCCTCCAATCCAGCCTCCACTCAGTCTCTAGAGATGATGTTATAAAACATAAATCTAATCATGTCACTCTCCTGCTTAAACACTCTCTGTTTTGTGTCCTGCTGCAACCACCCCGTCACCACCAAATACACAAATACCAACTTCTAAACTGACCATTGCAGGTTCTCCAAGATCTAAGCAAGCCTAACTTTCTGTTAGGTGTGCACGAATACCCTCACCACATATCATCCTTTCTAAACAACTTACCATTTCCAGGTTAGACACTATTATCTCTGCCTCCCCCACAATGCCACCTTACCAGCCTTAGATGCCTACCTTGTGATGGATGTCACACTAGTAAGATTGATACTAAGTTCAATATCCTTTGAGCCCTGACAAGTTCCTCCTAAGTCTCATTCCAGTCTTAGAAAGTTTGAAATGCAATTTAAAATCATGAAATGGGGGCGCCTGGGTGGCGCAGTCGGTTAAGCGTCCGACTTCAGCCAGGTCATGATCTCGCGGTCCGTGAGTTCGAGCCCCGCGTCAGGCTCTGGGCCGATGGCTCAGAGCCTGGAGCCTGTTTCCGATTCTGTGTCTCCCTCTCTCTCTGCCCCTCCCCCGTTCATGCTCTGTCTCTCTCTGTCCCAAAAATAAATAAACGTTGAAAAAAAAATTTTTTAATAAATAAATAAATAAATAAATAAATAAATAAAATAAATTAAAAAAAATAAATAAAATCATGAAATGGAGAATAGTGAATAAACGTACAATATAATTGCAATCATCTCTCTGAATTTTAGGGTTGTTAACGTTATTAATAAGAAATTGCCGGAATTTTAGAACCGAAATACCTACAAAACAAAGCTCAATGTTTTCAACTTTGCGAATAAATTATTAGAGGCAAAACTGTAGGTGTCAAAGCACTTGCAATTGAAAAAAAGAAAAGAACTAAACCACCATCAATTCATCACATTATCAATGAAAAAGACCAGTACATCATAGGTAGTAAAGATAATGCAATGGTATCATATAATTTTGAGCTCTAATTATAATCAATGACCAATAATTTTGGAGAAATTTTGCAGTATAGTTGATGCCCTCACAACATAATTCCTTATGTTTCTAGTATCAGTTATTTGCCTTAGTTAAGCATCTATATTTACCCCCATTGAAAATCTTCTATTCTTATTTTTAATTATAGTATTTGTGACTATCACTCATCTGTTGTTGCCAAACAAGCCTCCCCAAAATGTACTGATTTACAACCACCACTTATTTGGTTCACAATTCCACAAGTTGGCAATTTATGCTGAGTTCAGCTAGGCAGTTCTGGTTCTCTGTTGGAGTCATATGTGTGTCTGCAGTCCCTTGCAGTTTGGGTAAGCAGCTTTATTGAGGTTGGCCATGATTTCCTGTTTCTTTGGGGACTCAGCTTGTAGGTTAGCTTGAGTCCTTGGAGAAGCAAATGCCAAGAAAGAATTAAATGTGCAATGAATTTAGTAAGAGAAATGCTTGTGTTAGAGAAACCAAGAAGGAAGCCAAGTAAGGCTGGGAGAGCCATGGGATCACAATGCGAGTGTGACCCAAAGTGAAGAAGAGAAAGAGGAAAAAATAAGTAAAAACACCCTGGACTGATATGCTGTATAGGAAAGGTTTGGCACATCTGCCAGGAAGCCCTTTAGCCAAAGTTGGCCATCAGATAAATAAGTACTTCTTAGTGCCTCTACCTCACAGATATTAGCTGGGAACAACCTGTGGGAGCATGGCTTTGGTAGAAATGCCACAATGTATTTCTTTGTGCAGTAGCCAGGGCCCTAGGTCAATTATGCTCCCTGTATTTGGAAGTCTATAAGATGCATTTTCAGGCTCCAAAATTACTATGGTTTGTCTTTCACAGACTAGGTTGAGCTTGTTCACATGGTAGCTAAGCAGGGTTCAAGAGAGCAAGCAACATGTGATACTTCTCAAGGTATAGGCTCAGAGCTAGCAAACTACTACTTCCAATGCATTCTACTGGCCAAAATAGACCACGAGGCCATATTCAAGAACTGATAAAGAAACTCCCTCTCAGAAGAAGGGGCCAAGTCAGGTTACAAAGAGTACAGATGCAAGAAGAAGTGAATAATTTTTGCCATATTTGCAATGAAGCAAAAGTGACTGACTCTTTTGAAATTTTTTTTAGATGCTGTTGCTGTCACCTGGATGGATAAAGTAATCCCTTCCATGCAATGGGTCATTTCTTTTGGGATTTCAACTTCAATAGTTAGCAACATATGTTGTACAGTGCTTTCAGCATCGAGGCTGTTCTACACAGCAAGCCAAGAAGGACAACTACCTTTGATCTTCTCCATGCTTAATAACTACTTCAGTCCCACTGTTGCTATCACCCAGATAATCATCTTAGCTTCTTGTCTTATTATAGCCTCAGATTTAATCAATTTAATAAAATATTCAGGATTAGCAACCTGGGTTTTAAGAGGGCTATATATGATAGGCTTACTTAAACTAAGGTACCAGGACCCAGATCTACCCAGACCTTATAAGGTAAATCAAGATAAAAATGTTAATATTAACTTTCTACTCTATTTCTAGGAATATAACTTTTTTAACCTATAGGGGATGCTTCTAATCAATTAGAGTCCAATTTATGAAACATCTGATCTGGATCTCTATGTTCCAGTTTACTGATGTATAATTGGCTGTATGAGCTATTTTTGGCTTGTTTCTTATTGAGTAAAAGGTCAAAATTGATTCTCCACAAGGAATATAGTTATCACTTTTGTTATTTTCCAGGAGCTAGACAACAATGCTTTTGGGGGAAGGGGGGGAATATTGACCCAACTCAAAATCATCTCTTCAGTGCACAACCCAACATAGGTGATATGGCATTCCATTCTTAATTATATCCTTGATGGAGTCCTCATTTTCTACAATAAGATCAATAAGATGTTAATCTAAGCCTCAGTTTGGATTATTATAAACATTGTGAACCTGAACTTAACTTGCAAGATAACATCACTACCTCCTAGATAATGTCAGTAGGGCCCTGTAGGCTCCTAGAGTATCTTTATGCAAAATATACAAAAGCACCCCTTCCTCTAGGCAGACATAGCTCTGTGCTCAGGCACAGCCTAGTGAAGAAAGCACAAGCTAGATATTAGCTCCACGCTGCTCCATCAGATGGGAGCACTTGTGCATATAGTGACTACTTAAACAATCATACGTATAAGAAATTAAATTAGACTCATTTGAAAAGACCATTCTGACAATAGCATAGAAAGTGAATTAGAAGAAGGCATGAGTAGAGGCACCTGAGTGGCTCAGTTGGGTAAGTGTCCAAGTCTTGAGCTTGGGGTTGTGAGTTCAAGCCTCAGGTTAAAAAATTAATTAGTTAAAAAGGAGGCATGGGCATATTCAGGTAAAACAGCCTGCAGAGGTTCATTTAGTCACCCAGTTTAACTAAAGAGAATTCTAAAACTTAGAGATTAAGTAAATTACTCTGGCTAAAAGATAGCAGGCTGGAATTTAAACTAAACAATCTGATTCCAGAGCACATATTTTTGTTATATTTATTTTAAAAAGACTGGTGAATATTTTATTCTGTAAAGGACCTACTAAGGAAATTTTTTCTGATCTTAGCATCAAGAATACTTAGGCCTCTCCTAAATAACTGATTTGCTTATACCTTATGATGGACAGATTTCAGAATCTATATGGAGCTTTGTGGCATGTGTTTTGTGAAACAAATTCATTCTTTATGTTTATTTCCCTCTCTCTTATTTTCATTTATTTTGCCTTGGTGTAATGTAAGACATACCTTGCTATAATGTAAATCCTAAGAGGTTTCAAATAGTGTTTAATTCTTTAGTTGTGTCATAAATATAATCAAAATGGCCGTTTAAGATATTTTCTGCATGTAGAGATTGTGTACAAAGTAAAATGAGTGTCCCATGTTTCATGCCAGTGACCATAATAACCACTTGAGTGTGCTTTTTAAAATATAAATTCCCAGACTCACTCTCGGGAATTCTAATTTAGTCGATGTCAGTTGGGCCCTAAGAGTTTATGTTTATCAATTATCTTGGGGCTTCTTATGCAGAGAAGTCCACTGACTGACCATATTTTAAGACACACTAGTCTAGACAATCTTCACTTTCTTCCCCTCAAAATGGCTCCCTCTTTGGCCATTTCTCCTCTTGAAAAAAGTGAATGACAATATCTTAGATTTGAGTCATCTATTTATTCAACAAATAAGCAGTAACTATCTGCTATGTTTCAGGTACTCTACTAGGCAGTTCAAAAAACCCATTAGCCTCAGAGAAGTGTAAGAAATGTATATAAATCACTGTTTTAAAGTTAATTAAGAAATGTCATTTTGTTGGGGCAACCTGGCTGCTTGAGCATATAACTCTTGATCTCAGGGTTGTAGGTTTGAGCACTATTGGATGTAAAGATTACTTAAAAATAAAATCTTAAAAAAATATTTTTTTAGGGGCGCCTGGGTGGCGCAGTCGGTTAAGCGTCCGACTTCAGCCAGGTCACGATCTCGCGGTCCGTGAGTTCGAGCCCCGCGTCGGGCTCTGGGCTGATGGCTCAGAGCCTGGAGCCTGTTTCCGATTCTGTGTCTCCCTCTCTCTCTCTCTCTGCCCCTCCCCCGTTCATGCTCTGTCTCTCTCTGTCCCAAAAATAAATAAACGTTGAAAAAAAAATTTAAAAAAAATATTTTTTTTTTTAAAAAGAAATGCCATTTTGTTGAGCACGTTTTACTGAAGTGCCCTGTGTACAATGCTCACAAAGACTTCAAAAGACCAGCATTAGATAAAACCTCATTTTGCAAATGGGTTGGAAAAGACCCTTTTTTCCCCCAACTTAAATGGCAACGACACACATATTTCAGGAATATTTGATTAAAAAGCTCTGAACACATTTATCTATCATGGCTGCCTGCCCACCATGTAGCTTCCTTCAGTTGAAACAGGGTGCAGGGCCCCAAGGGTCTCACTGTGCAGTGACAGCAACCCTGGACGCTGGTGCAATGGGCCCCACAGGACTCGCAGGGAGCCTCCTTCTGGTTCCCTTCGCAAATAGGTCTGAGGACCAGATTAATTAAGTAGCCCAAAGTTAAACAGCTGAACGGTGGCACTAAGCTCCCTGGAGAGGAATCTTCTGTATCTGTCTTAAATACCTCTGTGTCCCTAGCATGGCAAGTGGCACATAGGGATTCAGTAGATATTTCTTGAAGGAATGAACAATTAAGGTTGCAGAGCTTGCATTTCCAATCAGACTTTTCTGATTCCAACATTTCTGCTGTTTTTATTATGTAATAGTGCTGCTCTCGGAAAAATTGGTACATGCCTAATTAAAGAAGCATTCTAACCAAATATTACGGTTATGCCAAATTCCCAAAACTAAGAATGCTTCAATGACTAATACTAGAACGGAATAGTTAATTTTTTATTTTTGACAATGATTTCTTATAATGTATCTTTTTCCCATGCTTGAAAATAAAGCACTTATTTTAGTAATAAGTTGACAATATCTGATGAATAGAGTAGGCATTCATAAAAATTATAGAATAAATATAAATAAATACTGTTCCACTTTTTACACTCATTTAGTCTGCCATTGATGTACTTTCTATAATATACTACTGAGACTGTCTCTTTAAATATATTTGAAAATATATTTGCAGTTTTCTCCCTGGTGTTTTGAAACATTTGTTCCAAACAGAAAGAGAATGTTCTTATATCGTTTATAGAAATTTTGAACTTTTGAGGAAAAAGTCATCACTAATCTTAATCTTAATCCTTTTTTTTTTTTTTTTTTTTTTTTTACTTTCAGGTGCGTTTGCCATTTATATTTGGATCCATAGCTATATCTTTGTTTCTAATTTTGACACCAATGATTCATTCTCCTAAAGTAGAGTATATCTATGGGTTTATCTTTATTTTCAGTGGACTTCTGGGTTACAGGCTTCATGTTCACCTTAATCAACGTTCTGTTTGTTTTGATAAAATCACTTGTTATTTACAATTATTATTTAATGTTTCACCACCTGAAGACCAAGATGAAGGTATTTCAACAGGAAAAAAACATCTTGAAGAAATCTTTTTGTAAATAGGCAACCCTAAATCTGTAAGTGGTTAATGACTAAGCACATTCAATCTTTGCTTTAAAATGTATACACCCACGGGCACCTGGGTGGCTCAGTTGGTTAAGCATCTGACTCTTGATTTTGTCTCAGGTCATGATCCCATGGTTTGTGAGACTGAGCCCCATGTCATACTCTGTGCTGACAGCATGGAGCCTGCTTTTCTCCCTCTCCCTTTCTCTCTGCCCCTCCCCTGCTCATGCGCGTGCATGCACATGAGCTCTATCTCTTTCTCTCTCTCAAAATAAATAAATAAACATTAAAAAGCCAAAAATAATATATATATATACCCTCATAGATACAAAACCTCCCCCTTCATACCCAATCCCCAACTACATGTATCAAATCCCCACCCAGCTATGTATTCAAATTCTTTAAAAAAAATTTTTTTTAATGTTTATTTATTCTTGAGAAAGAGACAGTGGAAGCGGGGGAGGGGCAGAGAGAGAGGGAGACACAGACTCTGAAGCAGGCTCCAGGCTCTAAGCTGTCAGCACAGAGACCAATGTGGGACTTGAACCCACAAGCCCTGAGATCATGACCTGAACCAAAGTCGGATGCTCAACCGAATGAGCCACCCAAGAGCCCTCAAATTGTTTACAATTCTAATTCTTTTGCTTGTAATTTAAGCCTTAGTTCCCTAGTGCCCAACATGTTTTTCACCACTTTCCTCCAACAACCATCAAAGAAACAAACAAAATAAAAGAGTCATTGTCAGGAAGACGAGTACATGGGTAAACAGTAGGTAACAGATATTTAATCAACATTCATTGAATGAATGTAAGATGCATCCACAAAAACAAAAAAAGAATATTATAAATCTGGATTTATATTAATAAAAACTACATATTGCTTCCTACTCACTGGTCTAAACAGTTCACAGTGATATCAATCAAAGAATGTGTTTCACTTTCAAACCCTCGTGTTTACCTCTACAAAGTGTGATAGACTAAATAATGATGCTGAAAAATATGTTCAAGTCCAGATGGTAACTACACTTATCATGGTGAGCACTGCATAATGTACAGAACTGTTGAATCACTATATTGTACACCTAAAACTAATATAATATGGTATATAGAACTACACTTCTATTAAAAAAAATGTCTAGGGGGCGCCTGGGTGGCGCAGTCGGTTAAGCGTCCGACTTCAGCCAGGTCACGATCTCGCGGTCCGTGAGTTCGAGCCCCGTGTCAGGCTCTGGGCTGATGGCTCGGAGCCTGGAGCCTGTTTCCGATTCTGTGTCTCCCTCTCTCTCTGCCCCTCCCCCGTTCATGCTCTGTCTCTCTCTGTCCCAAAAATAAATAAACGTGGAAAAAAAAATTTAAAAAAATGTCTAGGTCCTAATCCTCAGAACTTCTGCATCTAACTTTATATGGAAAAAAGAGTCTTTACAGATGTGATTAAAGATCTTGAGACAAGGGACATCTAACTAGATTATCTGCATAGGCCCTAAATGCAATCACATATATCTTTCTAAAAGAGAAGTAGAGGGATAGTAGACAAGACAGAAGAGAAGGCAATGTAACCCTGGAGGTAGAGACAGGAATAATGAGGCCACAAGCCAAGGAATGACAGCAGCCACCAGACGCTAGAAGCAAGCAAACAATGGATTTTTCCCTAGAATATCTGGAGGCAGTGTGGCCCTACCAAAACTTTGATTTCAGCCCAGTGAAACTGATTTTGGCCTCTAGCCTCCAGTATTGTGAGAGAATAAACTTCCGTTGTTGTAAACCACCAGGTTTGTGGTAATTTGTTACAGCAGCTCCAGGAAACTTATATATAAGGTATTTGCCAAAAACACTCATGCAATTTCCATAATAAGGAAAGGAAGGCTTTCTTCTAAACTCACATACTAAATATTTTTTGCATGTGTAGTACACAGACATATGACTCCACTGAAATTGTCTACTATATAGAGAAAACTAAAAATGTAAGTTCCCAACTGAGAGAGGATATTCTTACTGCTATTCCTCCCTAAAATCATATTATCTAACCTCCAAGATTCCTAAGTACTTCTCACCCCTTGAAATTCATGCTCTGAGGCAGTTCTCTCCCACACCGAGTCCAGGTTGCTCTTGAGCAACGAAATATGAAGGAAGCAATGGTGTATTACCGCCAAGTCTAGGTCATAAGTGGTGTTGCTGCTGAGGCCTTCTTCTCTTGGATTGCTTGCTCTGGTCACAACCAAAGGCCTTTGTTGGAAGAACAATCAAGTAGTCCCACAGAGAGGACACAGTGGAGAAAAACCAATTTGCCAGCATCAACATGATAGTCATTTCAGGAAGCTACCTTCAGAATGGATCCTACAACACCAGGGAAACGTTTATATGACGGTAGCCCAGCCAAGACCTGACTGTGACTTCATGAGAGACTCCAAGTCAGAACTGTCCAACCATGTTTCTATGTTTCTTCTGAATTCCTTTTATTTTTTTATTTTTTAAAAAACTTTATTGTGATAAGAACACTTAATATAAGATCTACTCCATTAACACAATTTTAAGTATTAATACAGTATAAGTATAGGCACTTTGTTGTACAATTGATCTCTAAAATGTATTCTGAAATTTTATACCCATTATTTAGCAATTTCCTGTTGCCCCCTACCCCAGCCCTTGGCAACCACAATTCTATTGTTTGCTTTCATGAGTTTGGCTATATTAGATAACCTCATTCATATACATGGAATCATGCAGTATTGCCCTTCTGTGACTGGCTTATTTCACTTAGCATAATGTTCTCCAGGTTCATGCATATTGTTGAATATGGCAGGGTTTCCTTCTTTTTTAAAGACTCCATTCTCTGTATATATCACCTTTTTTATCCATTCATATATCAGTGGGCATTTAGGTCGCTTCCACATTTTATATAATGAACATAAGAATACTAATGTCTCTTCCAGATCCTGATTTCAATTCTTTCCAGTAAGTCTTTAATCTATTTTTGAATTAATTTTTGTATATGATGTGAGATAAGGGTCCAATTTCATTATTTTATATGTGTGTATCTATCCTTCCCACCACCATTTGTTGAAGAGACCATCCTTTCCCCAATGTGTATTCTTGGCATTGTTACCAAAGATCAGTTTACCATATATGTGTGGATTTATTTATAGGCTCTCTATTCACTGGTCTATGTGTCTGTCTTCATATGAATAGCATACTGTTTTAATAACCATATCTTTGTGTAATAAACTTTGAAATCAGGAGTACAATGCCTCTAGCTTTGATCTTTTTCAAGATTGTTTTGGCTATTTGAGGTCTTTTCTGGTTTCATATGAATTCTAGAATTGTTCTTTTTAACTCTGTAAAAAAATATTCTATGGTATTTTGATAGGGCTTGCAGTTGAATCTATTGGACAGTATGGATATTTAATAATGTTGAGTCTTCATGAGCATGAGCACGAGCATGAGATACCTCTCCATTTATTTGTGTTTTCTTTAATTTTTTTCATCAATGTTTTATAATTTTCAGTGTGCTAGTCCTTAATGTCTTTGGTTAAATTTATTCCTAAGTATTTTATTGTTTATGATGCTATTGAAATTGAGATTGTTTCCTAATTTCATTTGCAATTAGTTGATTATTAGTGTATAGTTGTATTCTGCAACTTTTCTAAACTCAATTATTAGTTCTAATAGTTTTGGGTAGAGCTTTTAAGATGATGTCATATGCAGAGAGAAGCAATTTTACTTCTTCCTTTCCAACCTGGATGCTCTTTTTTTCCTTGGCTAACTGCTCTGGCTAGGACTTCCAGTAATATGTGAAAGAAGTGGTGAGACTGGACATCCTTGTCTTCTTCTTGATCTTAGTGGGAAAGCTTCTGGTTTTTAATTCTTGAGTATAATGTTAACTGTGAGCTTGTCATATATAGCTTTCATGATGTTAAGGTAATCTCCTTGAGTCCTAGTTTTTATCATAATGTTGAATTTTATCAATTAGTTTGTTGTTTGTTTGTTTGCATTTATTGAGATGATCATGCAATTTTTAGCCTTCACTCTGTTTATCTGGTGTATAGATCGCATTAATTAATTTGTGTATTGTAGACTCTAAGTCTAAAGTTCTCTCTTGGCCAGCAAGAGAGCGGGATGGAGGATGAAAAGCAAGAGACAGCTAATGTCCGGGAAGAGACACGAGCCCCAAATAAGGGTCCTTGCCCGTTTTTATTAGAATCAGAAGGCTTATGAACATGGCAATGAATGTGCACAAAGAGACAATGAATCTGTGAACATTAACTTGAGGATGTGAGGGAAAGGGGATCTTGAAGATATTTGAAGTTAGGGGTTTGGGTTAATACAAAACAAAATCTGGGCACCAGGCAGTCGGGCAGAAGGTTGTTTACAGGGCACATGAGGCACCACCTCTGTTTATCTCAGCTAGCCTAGGGGATAAGACAGATAGGGGAAATAACCCCAGGGTTAACAAGGCACCTTTTCTTTTGTTAATCATCTCCACTCTGGGCAACTTCACCCTGCAGCACAGTTCAGGGGTCTATAACCCAAATTACGTGTTTACCTAACTTGGTCCTTCTCTCCTGTGAAAGCAGCTTTCTGCTATAGTACTAAGTTGGGAGGCGCCTCCACCCTGAATACCTAATCTCGCTTACCTCATACACCTTTGTATTGGGTGCCTTTGCACCCCGCTCCCTCTCTTGGGGTCCTAATCTTGTTTACCAAAACTCATTTGTGAGCATCCTATGGCTTTGTACTTCTTCATGCCTTGTTAACCCATTGGTATAACCCCGGGGGATTCCTAAGCTTATTCCCCACAGTGTATTTTGAATCATCTCTGCATTCCAAGAATAAATCCCACTTGGTTGAAGTGGATGATCTTTTTAATGTGCTGTTGAATTCAGTTTACTAGTATTTTGCTAAGAATATTTGTATCTATGTTCATCAGGGACATTGGCCTATAGTTTCCTTTTGTTGTGGTTTCTTGTCTGGTTTTGGTATCAGGTTAATTGTCTCACAAAATGAGTCTGCAAGTGTCCCCTCTTCTTTGACTTTTTTTGAACAATTTTTGTTGGCATTAATTCTTTAAATGTTTGGTAGAATGTGTTAGTGAAGCCATCTAGTCCTGGGCTTTTCTTTGTTGGGAGGTTTTTGATAACTGATTTTC